TAGTAAACTTTAAATAAATGAAAGCCTTCCAAACATGCTCTAAGTCATGGGCAGCAAGCAGTTACATGGGTATGGACTTCTGTAAACATTTATTGATCTGTATAGTAAAGATGTCTATACCTTATCACATGTGAGTTATACATATCTCAACTAATTTTTTTTAAAGTTAACAAAAAACTAACTGAAAAACAGAAAACCCAACCAGATTAGGGACATAGATTAGATATGTGGCCAAGACAGACTTTTCACTACTTGATCCTGGAACTGGAGAGGTTAACCCATCTATCCTGCTGGCAGGGCTGCAAATGACAACCCACATCTTCCCAAGCCTGAGAACTAACCAGAATCTTTGAGTACTATCAGGTTATTGGTTTCAAATGAGAGAGCAAAGGGTTGAGCTGAGCATGCCCAGTTTCTTGTTTTCAGTACACCAGTAAAACAAATCACTCTTCTCTTCCCTTTAGGTGAGTCAAAGACCTGAGGTGCTACTTAGTAGAGAGTTTCTTCAACAGAAGCATTAATTAAAGGGGAAGAGGGATGTTTCTCCTCAATCGTGACTTAACTTTAGTCTTCATATGTGTAAAGCAGTGATAATAAAACCTATCTTATATAGTTGTGTAAACAGTAAAAAAAAAAAAAAAAGAAAAAGATAAGCTATATGAATGGCTTTACCAAGTACTAGTAAATGTAGAATTGGAAAAGCAAAGCATAGAGACTTCAGAAGGGCAAGAGATCTTCAGACAGACAATCTGATACACTTGTGGCATTTTTCTTTAATTGGGAAACCGAGACCCAAGGAGGTCTAGACCCTTATCTAAGTTCCTTGGCTTGTTAGAAATGCACTGTTGATGTGTTCTAGCAGAACTGCCTCTGGGTTGCAGGTGCTCATAGGCCTGGTGCAGAGTTCTTTCTGCTACATGGCTCTTCAGAATGACCATCCTACATGGCAGCAGATAGAATCACTGACCCTTCTCCTGACCACTATGTTTTCAGAAACTCCACAGTCAGTTCCTACCCCCCGTGGAGGCCCTGTGTGCTGCCTCATTCAAGCAGCAATTTGTAGTCCTTGTTGTACTTTAGCAATAAGAACAAGATTACTGCTTAGAATCAAGGCAGCTATTTGCACAATCCACTCAAGTAGTTAGACAGGTATTCTTTTGAAGGTAAATAAACACAGGCAACTACAATTATTTTATTCCATTTAGTGTATTAGAAAAGGTAATGATTTAATGATACCCTGGTGGTCTATAACAGTTAATGCACCACAGAAAAATGAATCATAAAATCCCCTTTTCACTAAAAACTGAGACTAGTGCTATGAAAAGGCACTAAACCTCAGGGAACCACAGTGTTTCCACCTTCCCACCAAGTGACAATATTATTAGTTTGGATTCTCTATTCACTGGTCATGAAAATACAGGATTTGGGGGGAACAGGAAAACCTGTGACATATTCTGTTTGTTCAGTGATAGATCCCTGCAACATTACCTGAGACAGTTGCTATGGCAAAGAAAATGGTCCTGTAAAGGCCAGACAATTTTCTGACTCTAATGTTGCACCTTCCCAAATGCTAGTTCATACTGAGCTGGGGTAGTAGCTGGAGACAGAGTTCTTCCTGAACTCTCCTCCATGTGCAGACCCAGTGGACTTTCAGGGTAGGGAAGTGCATGCACTCACTTCAGAATTACACAGGCACACAAGCTGTTGGTGTTTATTTTGGAAAGGGGTGTGAATTACAAATATTTCCTGAAAAACATGTGCCTAGCCTCCTGGCTCCCTGTAGGCTAAATATTAACAGGATGGGCTTTTTTGTTCTAGACTCTGCCATAAGAAGATTAGGTGTCAGTACTTCTAGTCAGAGAGACAGCTGTGTACATCTGGAAGGATCCTAGGGAGAGGCCTCAGACCAGCTTGACAGTGATGCTGGTGAACAGCAGGGTGCCCTCTCCTCAGTCACCGGAAAAGTGCCTTTTCTGTAGATTTCTATATCTGCAACCACATTGCCACAGAGTGTAACAGAGAGAACAAGGATCAGGAGGGCATTTGGATACCACTGCACTTTCCTCACTTGTAAATGGTGAGACCAATGTCTATACGGCAGGATTAACATGAACTCTTTCTTTGAGCATTGTATAAACAATCCAAAAAATAGCAGCTAGTATTAATGTGTATATTTCCCACTAGCATTAGATAAATGTAAAATTAGTTAAAATTGACAATAGTCCACTGATTTTTTATTATACATATATGTATGTATATATACATGTATTTTATAAATGTAATATATTAGCCATAATAACATCAGTAAATAGACACAGTTAGAGGCTAGTGTGGCTCAAGAAGTATGTCACCGTTTGACCAGTTTACACTGTTTACACTGTTCACACTGGTGCTTCCAGAATAATATCACCTCACTCTCAAGAGTGACCCAGTTTGGACAGTAAATCCTATGATCACCCTAAGTCACATTCAAAAGGAAACTATTGATTTTCATGAAATCCAAAAAACAGTTACAGCCTTATTGCTTAGGTATAATATGTGCAATAGATAAACTACGGCTTAAAAAATTTGTACTAGGGACCCCAACATAATTTTTTAAATATATAATAAATCTTTAATGGCAGTTATCAAACAAAAACAACAAACTCAGTGGTCGCAAGGTTTGACCCTGGTAGACAGTTTCCATGAAGAACTGGGGATTTATTCTTATATTTTCGTATAGTTTGCTCTGGATTGACGCTGATAACTGCCACTTGAAGCAGGTGATTTTAGTATTGACTAGGACCCTTTAAGCGGCTCCTGTATTGAAGGTTATTTTGCCTCTCAGTTTCTTTCTTTTCTTTTCTTTTTCTTTTTTCTTTTTTTTGTTCCTTAATTTGTGGTAACTTCTTTAATTCTAGCAGCTTTAACATATAGCTCTAGCACTCAGAGGTTTCAAATCGTGTTTAAAGCCTTGTTTAAAACTCACCAGATAGGGGCACCTGGGTGGCTCACTAGTAGATTAAGCATCCGACTTTGGCTCAGGTCTTGATCTCATGGTTCATGAGTTCAAGCCCCACACTGAGCTCTGTGTGGACAGCTCAGAGCCTGGAGTCTACTTTGGATTCTGTGTCTCCCTCTCTCTCTGTCTCTCCCCCACTCATGCTCTGTATCTCTCTATCAAAAATAAACATTAAAAAAAAATAAAACTCACCAGATAGATGACATTAATTTATTCCCTTTATATGCTAAAAGGAAATAAAAGAGAAGGAAAGGAAACTAATAGTAAGAGCTGAGTGATCTGGGTGACAGACATAAGTCACCCTATGTCAATGACTTGGCAGTTTTTACAAGGGTGTTTGCTTTCTGCTTCGCATAACTTTCTATAGTTGTTCTGTGTGGTTTGATTTCAACCACCGGCCTTACTCTTTATTTCCTCTCAGAAAATATCCTTTCAACAGAGAAAATATTACTTTAGTAAATGACATTTTTAATAACTTCCTACTAAGCAACACTGGAAGATGAGGTGAAATTGAGTTTTTCCCCTCTTCAGCCTGGCCCCAGTATTTTTGTATCTCACACTTAGGGTAGATGCAAGTACTGTATCTTTTTCACATTTTTAAATATATTTGAGTAGTTAAGCTTGTTTTTAAGTTAATTTATTTATTTTTGAGAGAAAGAGAGGAAGGAGGGGTGGGGGAGAGAGAGAGGGAGAGACACAGAGAGAGAGAGAGAGACAGAGAGAGAGAGAGAGAGAGAGAGAGAATCCCAAGTCGATTCATGCAGCTGGATCATGACCTGAGCCAAAATCAACAGTCAGGTTCTCAACCAACTCAAGTTCAACATCAGTATCACAGCTCTTTGCCTTCTCTTGTAAGCACTCTACCCTTCTTTCACTTCTCTGCTGCTCTCGGGCAGGAACCTTAGTGTCCAGTGGCCTATCTAGGCTGGAACAAAAGGGTCATCTGGCTGGGGGTGCAAGGGGCCTCATGCTGTTCTCAATCCAATCAACAGCTGAACTCACCACCTTCCCCAGCTTGCAGCACCTGGAGCATACACAGCATAGACCCTTAACCTCCCCCCACCCCACCCCGAAACTATCAGTCCAGGGTGGGGAAGGGGAGGGAAAGCCCACTGTAGAGAGAAGTAAGTTTCTGGAACTAAGTACACAATCTCTGAATTATGCCAGTGATATATTCCAAATCGATTTTGTTGTTCAAACCTGTTATCGTTTTTCCAGCAAATCCAGTTGATTTCTGAATTTCTTATCCGAACATAAGTCCTTAAGTTTAGACTTCTGACATGGAGCTCATATCTAACTCAATACTGTTCTTGTGCAACTTGTTTGGCAATTGGGGAACTTTTGATCACTTGTGACATAAGTGGAAATGATTGTACGGTTTTTTAAATTCACAGGTAAAAGTTAAAAGTGAATTACGTAGTGTGACTTTTCCATCAGGAAACAATTTACCTCAGTTTCTAATGATTAACAAATCTGATTCAAATATTTCTATACTGCCAACTATATATAAGGAGAGACTTATATAGTTCTTACTCTGGGTTTTTGTGGCCCTAGATATCAAAAAATTAGTGGAGTCATCAAAAGAAAATATCAAGGCTCAGGTAATATACAAACTGAGTTATTATAGATCGTGGATTGTCAAAGAGGATATTAAAAATGCTTTTTCAGTACCATGAAATAGGGAATCTTCTAATATAAATCTCTGTGAGCCAAGAGAGAATAAGAGTTATTTTCATTGCTCCTTAAGGATTTCCTTGCAATATTTGAAAGTTCTTTATTTTCACCTCTATGGAGTTTGTTTCATATGTTATAAAACCATTATTGAATTCAGAAAATAAAATTGAATAAACTATTTGCAAATAGAATTAGAGTGAGTTGCAAGTACAAGTGGACTTGGCTTTTCTTTCCTCTGAGAGCCCTGAAAAGCATTTGAGAATTAACCATGCATTCCTAGACCTCATTATTACAATCTTGGTAGCAGTCTGTTTTTGTGTTGCAGGCAATGAAAGCTTAGAAGAAAACTATGTCCAGGACAGTAAGATGGGGTTTGTCATCAATGCCATCTATGCCATGGCCCACGGGCTGCAGAACATGCACCATGCCCTCTGCCCGGGCCATGTGGGCCTCTGTGATGCTATGAAGCCCATCGACGGTAGCAAACTCCTGGAGTTCCTCATCAAGTCCACGTTCATCGGTGTGTCTGGAGAGGAAGTGTGGTTTGATGAGAAAGGGGATGCTCCTGGAAGGTAAAGCTGTCTGTTCTGGGATGGGTTCAGATAACCTTGTGATCCTCTCTGAGTAGACAGATGGCAACTCTGGTCCCATTTGGTTCCATGGTTTCCAAGTGTCATGAGGATAGATATGACTTGATAGATAAAAATATAGGGTTAACCTCAGTTGGAAATTATGCCATAAAACTTTGAAAACTTATTGGTAAATACCTAAAGTCCTGCATTCTTCCAGTGGCTCTCCCTTACCCAGCTACCACCCTGGCCCTTCCATCAGAATGCGTGGGATCTTGTACAAGCCCAAGAAACTGGACAGATGACACCTGAGTGGCAGGACCCTCTCTGGCAGTGCCAGCACCAGACCAGCATCTTTCTGATTGATTGGTTCCAATGCCATGCTGGTTGTATAATGTATTTTTTTAATGTTTATTTATTTATTTTGAGAGAGAGGGAGAAAGAAAGCAGGGAAGGAGCAGAGAGAGAGAGAGAAAGAGAGAGAGAGAATGAGTCTCAAGTAGATTCCACACTCTCAGTGCAAAGCTTAACGCATGGCTCGATCCCACAAACCATCAGATCAAGACCTGAGCTGAAATCAAGAGTCAGATGCTTAACTGACGGAGCCACCCAGGCATCCCTGGTTGTGTAATATTTTAATAAGAGCTAATATATGAAAAGTACCAAATCCTCCTTAGGAATCCCCTTTTCTCAGGCTAACTTATGTTCTTGCTAACCTGTCTCTTGAAACGAAGAAGAAAAGAATTTTCTTTCTGGTATCGAATTTTATGCAGGAATCAAGAAGCAAAGAAAAAATTAAACCTAACTAATATGTATATTTTCCCCAAGTCATTTTATATACTGTCTGTTCTGCAACAGCTGCTTTATAATATCAGTTAAGTCACGTGTGATTGGCAGAGAATGATGTCAGTTTAAAGAGTGCTATTTTCCAGGCATATAAATGAACTGATGTTCGTTCACATGAATTTTTTTTTCTAGGCAAGGGATAATCAGAATTACGGGGTAAGATTAAAGTCTGCTGCAGGGAAGAAAAAGGCCCTCAGCTTGGCTGCTATACAGTATTCCTACAATCTTGTTTTTTTCCCTTCTCTCTCTTTTCTCTCATAAGCCCTGTTATCTTTCAGTATATGATTTTACAGAATGAGAAATTTTAGGAAAGCATATGTTGTGTTAAAATGGAACATCAAATCATTTAATCCTCATTGCTATAGGCATATCATTATCCTCCTTTACAGATGAGAAACTGTGTGTCAGAGAAACTAAGAAACTCACCTAAATTCGTGCAAAGAGTAGCTGGTGGAGAGTGTGCAGTCTGAATCTGAGGCCTATAATCTTTTTGCTACATTGTGCTGCCTTTTAGCTAAGCCTAAAATTAGGCAAAGTTGCTGGCAACCTTCTTAATGTCATTTCAGAGGCACTGTAAGAAACTATCTGACCCTAAATAATTCTCAACATATCTCTGCCTTTCATGTAAGCTTAAAGTTTCGTGGTCAGAGAGTGCCTTGTGGGGATTCTCCCTGTGAAAATCCAACAGCCCTGGGAAGGATAAGTGATATAAGTAATTGTCAGCAATTACAATGTTGGATTTATCAGATTCCTTCCAGGCTGCCAGTTAGGTAGGAGGAGATTTAGATCAAAATGTGAGTGGGGCGGAAGGAATGATTTAGGGCCTGGGAATGTGGAAAGCTTCTAGATGCTGGGCACCTTGGGAAACAGTACCAAAAAGGACAAGAGGACCTGAGATTCAGAGCACTGACCACTCTCCACTTTAAGCGCATGGTTGTAATCCTGGGGTCCACTGGGAACCGTCAGATTTGGGATGGAAACCTTCCTTCACGGTTCTGTAAGATGATGTATACAATGTGCCTAGCACAAGGCAAGTTGAATTTTTTAAGTTTATTTATTTATTTATTTATTTGAGGGATAGAGAGTGAGCAGGAGAGGAGGGGAGAGAGAGAGAGGAAGGGAGGGAGACAGAGCAGGCTCCACACTGTCAATGCAGAGCCCATCACAGCACTCCAGCTCATGAACATGATCATGACCTGAGCTGAAACCAAGAATCGGATGCTTAACCGACTGAGCCACCCAGGCATCCCTACAGATGCATTTCAGACACTCCATACATACAAGTTTCCTCTTGATCTCTTTATTTATAATTTATCCAAAATATGGGCATGCAATTTTAGCTGGTTTTTCCCCTGTGTAATTACATATTTAAATCATGAGTTTTCTTCTGGGTCCCTTTTCAAGGATCATTTCCTCTTGCGTGAAACTGGCCATCTTAATCTGTGTTCAGTGTCTGTCTCAACCACCTCCCTCTGCTCCCATCCCCTCTCATACCACCATTCATGCTTTTGGTCCCTCTTGTAATTATTTTAGTGAATCATCATGCAACATAAACTGAGTGCATTGAGAGGGTGCTATAAAATTGTAATTTACAGCATAAGGATATTTGAAATAAATGCCAACATGCCAATGAGGGACTGTAGGGTCAAGAGGAAAGAGCGGTGTTCATTAACACATGCAGCACGGGGGAAGGCCTCTGTTTGGTATCTCATGCTTTTCCCTTGGTATCTTTCAGCATTTTTTTCCCTCTGCCTTTTGGGACTTTTTGAAAATGTGTTCCCATACCAAAATATTATGAGTTTTTCAGTTTCTAAATGCTAATGAAGTGTGAATTGATTTCTTCTTTTGAAGAGCAAATGTTGAAATGAATCTTAGGAAACTTATCTATAGGAAAAAGATACCCTAAAGCTGGCATTGCACCAAAGCCTTCACTGGAAGTATATAGGGAGAGTCAATAACAATATGGGGTAAAACATAAAAATTAAAGGAAATGAAAAAGGAAGCTATTAACCAAACATTCCAGCAGGTTCTGTAACCATAATGAGTTTAAAATGGAAAAATATTGGAGATATATATTAGCATCATTGATGAGCAAGATGAGTAGGGGCCATCAGCCCACAGTTAATACCCGACTGGGTATCGCTCAGAGAGCCACTCAGAAGAACGTGCTGGTATGGCTCAACAACAAGAAGAATCAGAACTTTTATTTATGAGCCGAAAGTGTAAACAGCAAAGAGATGAATAACATGCTCCAGGTGCTCCATTTTCCCTTCTAAACTGGTAAGGCCCGTGCTCCTGAAAAGTGGGGAAAAACTTCCTTTCCTCTCCCAGAGTCCCCTTTCCCTTTAGAGAAATTGCCAGAATTTGGATGTGGAGAAGCCACTAGTCACACTGTGGGTGGCAGAATGTGTTTGCACATTAAGAACAGGCAGACAAACTAACAACGAATAGTAGTTATCTAGATAAAGAACTAAGACAGATATAGCCAATAGGTTTTGGAAGCCAAGTAAGGTTGGCAATAATTTCCGGAGAGTGCTGGGCTGAGGAAGACTCTGAGTCTGCATAGGGTTTAGAGAGGAAGAGTTCCAAAAGGATTAGATAGGAGCATGGGAGGTTGGAAGATGAGGAAGAGGAATACATGTTAGTTAATTGCTATCTATTTCTTCAAGTCCAGCACAAAGAGCTAGAGACCATCCCTCTCTTTTCTAGGGCAGCATGGTGGGAACTCTGCATAGGTACTACAGCAAAGAGAATCCCACTTTGCAGAGCCAGAAATGGACAGTCAGGCATCATTTGTGGGAAACCGCCACATGAGTTATAGTTTACTTGGAGTAAAGAGCAACATGGGGAGGAAAATGAAGAAGGCCATAGAATTTCCAAAGACTGAGAGAGAAACAGCTATGCAAGTACAAAAAGATGTTCTCCAGTTTTCTTATGGTAATGGAAATAACCAGAGTATTTTCGGGCATTCGTAGTAATACAAATATGAATGATACAGTGATATTGCCTTACATATGCATTTTCCCAACTATAAAATAGTTTTTTAAATGCCTTGTTAATAAATCCTCACAAGAACTCTGTGAACCTTTAAGCATTTAGTGACATTCCTAAGTAGTATAATCTACTGTTAAAATGTTAGAAAAGAGAGTCTAGCTTATGCATTCTATTGCCAAGTCTCGTGCTCTTTTCATCACATTGGAGAATGTTCTCCATTGCCCATGCTGGAAAATGATGAAGTCTGGCCCCCAAAGCACACTCTGGCTGCAGTGAGGGTTTCTAAATGTAGATGTTTCCATAGTGTAGCATTGCAGCATTTGAAATTACTGAAGTAACTGACACCGATTATTTGGATTTCAGAAATGTTTGTCCTAATCAGGGAGGAGACCAGTTTAAATGTCAGTACTCAAGATGCTAAATCCCCAACATCCTTTTAATTAAAGCTGTGTTTCTCAGATTTCTTGCTTTATTAGCACCTAAAATGGGTTCCAGACTTGGTAAAACTCCCTTCTTTTAATCCAGCATAATGAAAATGGCAACTGAATGTGAAAAAGAACATTAGAATGATAATGATCAAGTTAAGAAATTAATATTCTCCAGGCTCCTGGGTGGCTCTGTCAGTTGAGTGTCTGATGCTTGTTCTCTGCTCAGGTCATGATCTCATGGTTTGTGAGATGGAACACCCACATCAGGCTCTGCAGCAGGAAGCCTGCTTGGGATTCTCTCTCCTCCTCTCTCTTTCTGCATCTCTCTGACTTACATGCACACACTCTCTCTCTCAAAATAAATAACTAAACATTAAATAAAGAAATCAATGTTTTCAAGAATCATGACTCGTTCAAAGAATAACTTAGTGAATAATTATTTGAAGGAGATGGTAATCAATTCAGCACACATAGGCTTATTTTTGGGCAGAATAAGCAGAGAGAGAAGTGCAAAGTAATATATTCTTTAGCAAATATGGGCAATACACAGAGACTAAAGCAGGAAACACACATTTTGGAAAATCGGAAGAAACATTAGAAACAAATGAAAATATTGACAGACGTTAGGCCGTGAGATAATTCCAGCTTTTATCTCCCTTCTCTCTATGACATGTTTACCAGATTTCTTTGTTTTCTACATTATGTCTGTATGTCCAAGACGCACATGTTGGTTTCTCTGTAGGTATGATATCATGAATCTGCAGTATACCGAAGCTAATCGCTATGACTACGTACATGTCGGAACCTGGCACGAAGGCGTGTTGAACATTGATGATTACAAAATCCAAATGAACAAGAGTGGGATGGTACGGTCTGTGTGCAGTGAGCCTTGCTTAAAGGGCCAAATTAAGGTAAGCTGACCACAAATGCATTCTTAGACAGAATGAGTCCTCCTGCAAGGACCTACATAAAGAAAAACAGACATTTTTCTTAGACAAGACTGTCCAGAAGGGATGTGACAGGCTTACTGTTTTTGTCCTTGTGTTTGGCTAAAACTGGAAAAATAAAGGATGATTAGAAAATGAAATAGACAAACCACCTGAATATTGAAGAATAGTCCTTATTTGAATCGCAATGATGAGCCGGACTCTTCGATTAAATCTAGAAAGTGAAGGGACAAACACTCGAATTAAAAATTGAAACAGAAGTAAATGTGGAAACCAAAACCAATGATACCGCTTAGTCATAGTTCTAGCTATTGTTCAAGAGAGCAGAAGCTGAACAATACTAAATACGCACATAATTAACATAAAAGAAGCTGAAATGAGCTAACAGAAGCTGCTTATCATTTCCCTTTTTCACCACCATGTTCTTTGATTTTCCTGAAACTGGCATTTTCTAGCCAAGAGAGTCCTCGCTTCCTAGTTATTCTTAGAAGCTTTTTTATCAGCCTGGGGCAAGTGAGGAACCATGATATTGCTGTATGCATAACAGTAGAGTAAATAAACATTAAATATCGAACATTTGGCTGGACATGCGAGAGAGGATTCTTGGTGAGGAAGGCATGGGAACAGCACTCCTCTGTGTCTCATGCTATTTAAAACCACATTGGATGATGCACTAGGAAGTGGAGTGTAGGGGAGTGATCGCCAATTGGCAAGAGTATGGATTAAATGACCTCGTAGGTCTTTCCCCTCTCTAATTTTCTGTGATTCATCTCTGGGAGCAGACAGGCTGTCACATAAATGTCACACAGCACAGCTGGGCTGGAGGAGATACTGTGTGAGGCGCTGGCCCTCTGGCCATGCCGCCATGCCACCTGCCATTCTCATTCTCAGGAGCTGCGGAACCACCCCTGTAGGAAGAAGCCCTGAGTAGTACACTGAGGGTCTTAGGGCAAGAGGGTAGCCATGTTAGTCCTGTGTGGAAGTGCTCGTGCAGAAACTGGAAAAGCCTCATGTCTACTGGTCAGTGACACCAGAGGATTTGGAAGCTGTAACATACTTTTTGTTTGTTTATTTATTTTGAGAGAGAGAGAGAGAGAGAGTGCCAGCATGGAGAAGGGACAGTAAGAGAGGGAGAGAGAGAATCCCAAGCATGCTCCACATTGTCACTGTCAGAGCAGAGCCTGACATGGGGCTCAAATTCACAAACTGCAAGATCATGACCTGAGCCAAAATCAGAGTTGGATGCTTAACCAACTGAGCCACCCAGGCACCCCAAGCTGTGACATCTTTTGAAGAGTTGTCCTGATGGACTCAAACTCTCAGGAATCTCAGCCACTTCGAAGAAGAAACAAACTTCTGAGATAATTAACCCGAGCCGGTTTGTTTGATTGATTTTGTTTTATTTCTTTTTTATCAGAGTATAGTTGACACACAACATTGCGTTAGTTTTATTCACCCTAGTTTTAAGTATCTTGTTGCTTCTATGCAGATGTGATATTAAAATAAAATTTTTAATGTTTATTTATTTTTGAGAGAGAGAGAGAGCAAGTAGGGGAGGGGCAGAGAGAGAGAGAGGGAGACACAGAATCTGAAGTAGGCTCCAGGCTCCAAGCTGTCAGCACAGAGCATGACACGGGGCTCAAACCTAGGAACTGTGAGACCATGACCTGAGCTGAAGTCAGATGCTCAACCGACTGAGCCACCCAGGTGCCCCCAGATGTGATATTAAAAGTACTTAATATTTCCATGCCAACTAACCTATCAGGATAGACTCCTTCCTGGTGCTGTGACAGGTACTGGAGGTGTTCTGCCCAAGCCCAAGTTTAGTCCTTGAATGGGGGAAGATTTGGGCAAGGAGTCCTGTAAGGCAGGAGTAGCATGGCCCATTCAGGGGGCTCAAAGATACCGTGAGTTTGCCCTCTGTGCAGAAGTATTTCTGCAGCATAAGCGTGGCTGCAGCCAGTCCATTGTGTACAGGCTGTATGTCAGCAAGGCTGCTCCCCAGGAATCCCATTTCTGATTCTTGTCCCAATAGAATTCTTCCACATGAGTCTGTCTGATGGTTTAAACTCCAGAGGCACAAAGCTTCCTAATTGTTGCCATGAGATGCCAAACCACTGGATTCTAATTTTGTCATCCTTTCTGGATGGCAGAGAAAATGGGACATCTGAGACTGAGGTCATACTGCGGGGACAATGTGAGTCAAGAGGTATCACATGCGTAATTCAGGCCTTTCCAGCTTAGGTGAGAGCCTTGTCTATGCTGCAGATAAGCATTGTAAAACAGTTTATGGAACTACAAAGTTGGTTTTTTTCAGAGTATAAGAAAAACAAACAAACAAACAAAACCTGTCAAGAGAAAACAAATCATTGCAAAGATTCTCTGAACTCCAGCCACTTTCCATAATTCCGTGCTGTTACTGTGGTTGCTGGTAGGCCATGAATGGGGGCTCACATACCCTGTGGATTCCCATTCGTACCTTTCAGAAGAAAGGCCTTTCCTCCCAAAATTCACAGGAAAGGCTGTCATACATCTCTATGCCTAGATACTGAAGTATTTCTGGCTTCACGTTTGCATTACGCCCATGCAGTGTTTGTTATTGAAGGAGATCCCAGAAATCATTGCGGAGCCATTACAGAGCACTTGCTATAAATGCAAATCTCTTGGGGTCTAATTTTAGAAATATTGTGTACCCTGCAGGAAGAAAATATGCCTGTTCTCAATGGCACCTGGAGTGGAGGTGGGGGGGGGGTGGAATGTTTGTTTGTTACCCATAACCACCATGGGAGGTATGGAAACAAATGAAATCTGAATCCCATTTACCAAATGATAGCACTTATATTCTCACACCACCAATTTACCACCTACCAGGCCCAGTATGCAAAGAGCCAGATCCCTCAGTAGCGACCATAAAAACAGGAGAGAGGCAGCATACAAGGCAATTATAGGACTTGCACTTGTACTAACTGGGAAGCATAATGTTTAGAAAGGGATAATTCGTTGTAAATATCAGATGCCATTTAAAATGCTAAAATAAATTATTTGACTTTTTAAATGACAACCCATAAAGCTTTCTTATGGTAATTCCCCTTGAGGTAGTTAAAAGCAGTTTTTTTATGTTATTCATTTTTAGAAATCTACATATAATATCTTATAAATATAATATCTTATGGAAGCAGAAGTTTATTTTAACCATTCCACAAACACAGTTAAGTAAAATCAAACTTTTTATTGCTGTGTGTTATAATAGGATTCGATTGGGAAAAAAAAGAACCCTTGCCAGATGGTTTGGTAGAGGGAATTTAATATAAGAAATTGGTTATAAAAGTAAGAAAGAATGCCAAGGCACCCGAGACAAGCAACAGCAAGAATGATCCTCACCCTGGGCCAGAGGGACCCAGGAAGGCCACACAGCTGCTTCTGAGATGCCCTCCTGAAGTGGGGAGGGGAGGACACCTTGTCTTCCTTTCTTTCCCTTGCTTTTGGTCCCTGTGTTTGGCCAACATCATCCGGAAGACATTGGCAAGAAAGCCTGGACAGCGTAATTCACAGGTTTCCTTGAAACCTTAAAACTAAGTACGGCTTAAGTGGTAGGGCATTACTGGGAACTGGAATCTCAGAGATGCAAGAGTGAAGGGAAAAGGGAAAGGAGACATGGGAGCATGGAAACCACTCCCATCCCTGCCCCCACCGTCATCACTGAAGTAGTGCTTTACCGAGCAGGATGCCACTGCACTGAGTGTAACTGGTCATTCAGCCTCAGAGAGATCTCTGGATGGGCCACTTGGCATATCTACTAGAGCAAGGAGGGAAGAAGAATGTGTGCACCTATGCCGTGCCATTTTCTGTTTCCTGTGGACAAAGTTTACTCACAGGAAGAAATATAATCTGATCCCTTTAGACAGCTACTGGGGAAGCCAGAATCTAATTCCGGTTCCATGGTCCTTTTGCAGATTTAGAAGCAGTTGGGTCCCATGTAGTCCGTTCTGGGCTTCTGCTGTGGTGAGTGTAATGGAGACAGTTCTGAAATCCAGTGATGGAGTCATGGGAGAGACAGATAGTTGGACATGACAGGAAATGAGACAACATTGATAGAGACTGAAGTATGCGTTGCAGAAGTGTCCAGGACATTCTAAGAGCCAGTGGCCAAGGGCCTAAGAGACAGGCTAGGGGAAGAGGATCTAAGGCAGTACACAAAGTGTGGACAGTGAATCTGCAAGCAAACACCAAGGGCCTGCACATGTGGCGATCTCCTGTACCAGGCCTGCAGCCATTTTCTTTGGTTGGTGACAGGCAAGAAAGAGCCAAGAAGGGGTGGGAAGGCGAAGGGGGCAGTGAAAGGAAGGAGAAGGGAGGCAATAGAGTCAGGGACAAATGTTTTTCAAGCATATTCTTGTGTAAGTACCATAATAGATACAGTCACCATTTTAATTATTCCTAAAAATAACACTTTTGAAACAGATATTTAGCCCCCATTGTACAGATGAGGAATCTGAGGCCCAGGGGGCTGAGTCATTTTCCCCAAGCTCTCTCAAGCTAGTAAGTGCCAAAGCTGGGATCAGAGCCAGCCCAGAGCTCTGATCACCTCACCGCCTCATGTGGTTCAATTACCTGTCATTAGATGAACTGGTGTATTTCCTACTAATGCAAGTTTCAATTGCTAAGCCTTATTTTCTCAGGAGTTCACTCTAAAATTATAAATAGAGATGCACTTTAACAGGGAACAGAATCTAGAATTGAGGAAACAATATTAGTGCAGAAGGTTGGGGGAGTTTAATAGAGGCAGGGAAACTAACAGAGACGTTGAGGGAAAAGATCCTGCAGATTGCTTTCACTGGCTCCTATTCTTTCCTTTCCTCTCTGTCTTCAATTTTTCTCCCCTTAAGTTTGTCTTTGGGTTCTTTGCTTTAAGGGGATGATTTGGGGGTTGGGGGATTGGGCATGGAGAATAGAGAATGCTAATT